TCTCATGCACGCACGTGCATGCATGCACACACACACATACACACAAATTCATTCTTCCCGGTAAGCTGCTGCTTCACTGTAGTCCATCATCTGTCACAATATGTCTCCTGGTAGAAGAGAATATTTGTAACTCAGAATTGAACTATAGAGTTCCTGGTGCCCTCTGAGCTAGGTTGTATTCTTGCAGATGTTTCATTATCAAACTAGGTAACATCATTTTTTTTTTACTAAATGGTCTCATTGCACATGAATGCATGTTTAGTAAACTTTTGTTTAAAACATGGAAATCAAAACAATACATTCAATAAGTCATTTAAGAGCAAAGAAAACTAAGGTATCTTACATGATTCAATTTAAGTGTTCATTCAGTTCAAATGTTGTGACCCCAAATAACTGAAACAGGTTGAGTGCATGTGCATGCATATCTGTATGTGAAATATATGAAGAATTGTGTAAATAGTTACAGACTCAGTTCTCTAAGTATATATTTTTATTTACCCTTTCTTCCACCATTCACAGCAGATCTGATGTTCAAGTTTCACAGATACAAAAAATAGGAGAAATACAGGTAAACCCTAAAAATACAATAGGCAGGAAAAAATAGCACAAACATTCTCAATGGTCACCTATATCAATGATTAGATAATCAATTTCTATAAAATATTTCATGAATGGTTTAATTGATTTATTGTTTTAATTGATTAGTGTGATTAAAGTGTTTAGTGCAAATAGTGTGATTACTGATTAGTTTAAAAGATCAAGATTCATGTACTTTGATTGATTAGTAAAATCAGTGATTTAGTGAATTTAATTGAACAATGTGATAAATGATTAGTGTAATTAATTGATTAGTGAATAATATAATTAATTGATTAGGCCGATTATTGCTTAGGAAAATTATTTGACTAGAGAGATTACTGCAATTGATTGATTGGTGTGATATTGGCTATATTGATTACCCAAAATTGTTCCATTAATTAATTTAATCAACGTACCATCTGAACAAACCTACCATGCCAAGAAAAAAATCCAATGCCAAACCACAACCTAAAGAGAAAGTAATCCCCACCAATGAACCACAAGACTCCTGCACATGCCTTAAATGCTACAAAACTCTAAAGGATAATGAAAACTCCATCAAATGTTCTCTATGTAACAAATACGCTCATCATGACTGCTTGGGATTACCCAAGCAAATGATTCAATACCTAAAATCATCCAATGAGTTTCCATATCTCTGCAAATCATGCAGACCCAAACTGGATCTGTTGGAAAGAGTTGATACCATTGAAACACGAATAACATCCCTTGACACCATAGTAGCATCCCTGGATGCCTTAAAAGAAAGATTATCCAACCTTGAAAAAAAAGACACAATGGAAAAACCTGAACATCCAATAGCTACAAACCACATCTCTACCCAACAACCACAACCCAATCCACAACCCAATCCACAAAAAAGCATAAGCCAGACAAATAATGATATCCCAATCCTCATCAGAGAAGCTGTTGAGCGTGAACGGAAATGTCCAAATGCCATCTTATTTGGTCTAGAGGACATCAGTGATAATGATGACATCACAACTGTCTGAAACATCATCAGTGATTATCAAGTATCAACCATCTTCCCTGAAGAAATACTTGACATTTCCCTCACTGGCCGAGAGCTCAAAACAGAGACGGTTCTGTGGCCCCACGCTTCTGCAGGGTCATTTGCAAAAATGAATCAAGCAAACATAAATTCATTTACACTATAAATTCACTCGCCAAAACCAACACCAACCATAAGAACCTCTGTTGTCACCCTGACCTAACCATACAGCAACATGCCCGCTCCTGTGTACTCCGCACTGAACTCAAAAAACATCTAGACAATGGAGAGAAGGACCTGTACATTGACTACCATGCTGACTGTATCAAAAGTAAGTCACACAACCCGCAACTCAGCTTTAACCTTCAACCACAACCCTACTTCAACCAATCCACCATCACCCAAGACTAGGCATGCACACCCCTAACTACCTCAATTCCAACTACTGCTGGCCTTAAATGCAAGCTACTCAATGCAAGAAGCCTTGCGAATAAAATACCTGAATTTTTCCTCTTACAAATATGGCTAAATTCAACATCATATTTGTCTGTGAAACATGGCTCAACGCATGTCTCCCTGACTCCATTACTACAGTGAGAGACTATCATGTTTACCAATCAGATCGTGATATTCTTAGAGGAGGTGGTGTTGCTATCTTCTATAAAAACTCCTTACATCTAAAAAACATCCAAGTTACCCAGGAGCTTGCTCTTGCTGAGACCATCATCTGTGAACTATCCTTAAATATCATATTTCGATTCTTACTATGTTACAGAGCACCTGATGATGACATCGAACATGTAAACAAGCTAAATACACTAACATGGGCAGCATCCTGCCCACACACTTTTATCTTTCTTGGTGACTTCAATCTACCTCATATTGACCTAAATGAATGTACAACTGAACCCATACATGCAACCTTCTACAATGCTGTTACAAATCTGCGACTGGAACAACTAGTAACCAACAACACTAGACTAAACTACTGCCTCGATCTCATCTTCTGCAATAGTTTGAATTTAGTTTATAGAATACAAACTAAAGAACCCTTTTCCAGCAGTGCCCACAATATGATTGAGTTTTGTCTCAACATACACCCACACAAAAATCATCACAATGACGTAATCCCCAATTATAACTTCAAAAAAGGCAACTATGATCTTATAGACAACGATCTCTCATCCCTTGATTGGCAATCTCTATTCACTGGATGAAATCCTGTTGAAGACCATTACAACATATTTTTACTTGAAGTCAAAAGAGTCATCAAACTATATGTACCAACAACTCCCCCCCCCCCCAAAAAAAAAAAAAAAAAAAAACAAATTACCCATAACAATAAGGAAACTTCAATCCCAAAACAGATCACTCTGGCAGAAAAACAAATCTGGTCACATTGCCAATTTCAAAAGCCGATACAAAAATTTATGCCACAGATAAAGACTGAATGCACCAATTATCACATTAAACAAGAGGAAAACCTTCTATGCACCAATTCCTCCCGCGCTTTTTACAATTTTGTATACAACAAACTAAAAGACTCAAGGTCCATCCCACGCCTGATAGGACCTAATGGTAAAGACTGCAACGACGACACCATTAAAGCCAACCTCTTTAACACATTCTTTGGTTCAGTATTTGTAAACAGCAATGGATCATGCCCAGTATTTCCTTGTCAAATCAGACACAACTACAATGATCTAATACATATCGATTTTACAGAAGACAATGTTGAAAAAGCACTACACAATCTAAAACCATCTCTATTAATTGGACCAGATGGAATATGTGCCTACTTCTTTAAAAAGGTATCCATTGCCATAGCCAAACCTCTAAGCATAATCTTCGAAAAATCTTTCAGGACCAGCTCCTTGCTAAACCTATGGTCATAAGCCACGGTCATCCCCATCTTCAAAAAGGGAGACCCCAACCTAGTTGAAAATTACAGACCAATCTCTTTATGCTGCGTCACCTGTAAAGTCATGGAATCAATTATTAACCAATTGGTTATCCTCCACTTACAGACAAACAACCTACTCTCCAATACACAATTTGGTTTCAGGAAAAAACTATCTTGTAATCTGCAACTCTTACACTGCAAAAACATATGGACTACACAACTTGATCAGGGCAAAGCAATAGACACAATCTACATAGACCTCTGTAAAGTCTTTGATTCAGTGGTACACGACAAACTACTCCTAAAACTAAAATCTTATGGTATCTCTGGACACCTGCATAACTAGATAGAAGCATTCCTGTCAAACAGACAACAGATGGTCAACATTGGGAGTGTCCTATCAAATTCTGTACCTGTCAATAGTGGTGTCCCCCAAGGCAGTGTTCTTGGACCAACTCTCTTCATATTCTACAAAAATGACCTCTGTGATCATATTAAGAGCAAGTGCGTTCTTTTTGCTGATGATGTAAAGCTGTTCAATACCACAGACAATACTGCTACCCTTCAAAAAGATCTTGACTATGTATCAAAATGGTCAAACAAATGGCAACTTCAAATCTCAACAAATAAATGCTCTGTCTTACATATTGGCAAAAAATATATACCAGAAAATTAAATACAAGCTGAATAGTCAAGATCTTGTGGATGATCCAAGCTCTGTAAAGGACCTTGGAATACTCATCTCTAATGATCTAAGTGCTAGAGCCCACTGTAACTACATAGCCAAAAAGGCATTAAGAGTTGTTAACCTAATCCTATGTAGCTTTTTCTCTGGTAATATCACACTACTAACTAGAGCATACAAAACATTTGCTAGACCAATACTCGAATTCGGCTCATCAGTCTGGAACCCACATAACGTATCTGTTATTAGCACAGTTGAGGAAGTCCAGAAATATTTCACAAGAAGAGTTCTCCACTCCTCTACTCGTTGTAGAATACCTTATGCCACCAGACTTAGACCTAGAAAACCTTGAATTACGCGGTCTTCGGTCTGATCTAAGTATGGTATATAAAATCATACACTGCAACGTCCTACCTGTCAATGAATACTTCAGCTTCAACCATAACAACACAAGAGCACACAATAGATACAAACTCAAGGTTAACCGCACCAAACTTGATTGCAGGAAATACGACTTCAGCAACAGAGTGGTCAATGTCTGGAATACTCTACCTGACTCTCTGGTTTCTTCCCTAAACCCCAAAAACTTTAACCTTAGACTGTCTACTATTGACCTCACCCCTTTCCTAAGAGGTCTGTAGGGGGCGTGCATAAGTTCACTAACGTGCCTACCATCCCTGTCTATTGTTTCTTTTATTTTTCTTATATGTACCCATTTCATGTATTCATAACTATGTATATACTTATACCTATTATCTTGTAAGCAATTGACAAATCAAATAAATAAATAAAATAAAATATAACAAAATGAAATATATAGTGAAACCAGTGGCTGCTCACTTTTCAACGATACTATGCAAATATGAAACCAGTAATAGTTTATTGCAGGCTATTATTATTGCAACATTTGATAAATTTGTTGCTTTTCCAAGATTTAAGCACTTATAATCCTTAATTAATCCTCACTATGCTTGTCCATATGGAAACAAATACAAATGAAACCCACTAAATTAACTTCATTTGTATTCTCTGTCACATGGGAAGTGCAAATAACTTTTGGCAGCAAAATCATCTTTACAAAAACAGAAAGTTACCATATGCAACCCTGTGGTTTCAGACAGGCAGGCAAAATTAAAGACATTAAACTACAGAACTAAATTACAGGATATAGAATGCAGGAGGCACAATCCTCTGGGGTTGAGGGTAAACAGGAAGGTTTGATTTTTTATAAAAAAAACTATTTTTCAGAATTCTAATGTAGAACTGGTCTATGACCACACATGTTATATTCATTCTGAAATCTTCTGCTGTAGAAATGTTAGAATTACATCAAGTTCTTGCAGTATACTTTGTAGAACATAGCATAGTGCAGCACAGCACCAGCACCAGCACCAGCACCAGCACCAGCACCAGCACAGCACAGCACAGCACAGCACAGATTCTCTTAGTATTCCTGTCTCCTGTAGCTATGGAGGTTCAAATGGAAATTACTTTGTTTCAGTGCTCATTTATAAAGCTGTTAGCAAAAATGAGCTTGAAGGATCATCGTGCTTGGGATCACATCAATTAAAACATTTATCAGATAAATATTTGCAGTTTACATGAGAATCTTATGAAATGAAAATAAAGAATAGAATTCCTTGGAATGTCTCCATAGGATTCTTTTATTCATGGAATTAAGACCAAGTAACTGTTAAGCCCTGCAAAGCAGCTAACTCAGGAATCATAATACTTGGATTTTTGGAAAAATAAAAAATCCTACTTTTATTTCTAGCATGTAAATATGTAACAGAAATTGAAAAATACCAAAATAATGATCTTGCATAGCTAGTATCTAGTCTAATGAGTTACTCAAAGTCTTTCCCTCACATTCCCTTCATCCTCCTCTGGACCCGAAACCTCTCCTGTACTCAAGAATCTCTTCTTTGCTGACCCTATTTCCTCCCTTGATTATTTTTCTGTTTCTCTATTTCAAGAAATATTAGGCATTCCATCACTCAGCCCTCACACACTGGTACACAATCTCCAGCAACTTGAAAGCTGTATCAGCCTTTCTGCAGCATGTCATGATCTGTGTTCTAACCATGAACAGCCTCAGGACCAAAAACTGTCTCAATGGGAGAAAGTTGGAAATTTGAACTGGTGAAATAAGCTCCTTCAGCCTCTATTATTCCAAACTTCCCCAGTATAAAATAGTAGGCCAACATTTTAGCCTTACCCAATTTGGACAGATCGTCAAAAGAGTCTAAGAGCCACATGAGCTACACCCCTAACACTTTCAGTGATGAAACACACTCTATATTCAAGGCTCTTTCTCAAAACCTTTGAATGCGCTAGTTGGCCACTGTTGGTTTTAAGTTTTTGATAAGACATTTTTTTCATTACAAGTTTGGAGTGGAAACATTTTCACCCCCATAATCAGACAGAGAGGAAGAGAAACTTGAGAATCATTCCTCAATTCATTTAATGTAATCTCATAAACTACAGTACATTTTTTTTTACAAATATGTGAAAAGAACTTCAGCAATTGGACAAATAAAACATGATTATTTTTATTATAGTGTAATCTTAGCTCAACAAATTTAGTAATGTAATGAATCTATACCTGGGGGAAATTCACTGAATTAGATAAGTTTTGTCTTTAAATAAATATGTGCAGATATGCTTCAAAAACTTGGGTTGTTCGTTCTTCCTTTACTTATTTTTAAGAGTTTATCAGATTCTATCGCTACAAGAATCATAAACCTAAGTACACATTGTCAAGTCCTATTAGGTAAAAATAAAATTATTTTTTAATATAAATGAGAAAAACAGAGCAAGAAAATTACTCACAGAGAATTATTAAATAGTGCTGTAGTTGGGTGAATTCTATATATAACCTGTCCATAGAAACTAATTCTAATAAATGAAATGCCTTATGAGAATTATTTGCTAACAAAATCTTTATTTTTTTATCAGCCTTAGCTTATTTCTAACCTGCTAAAAGACAGTTACCAAACTTGTAAACTTCTGTACCAATAAATAAAGAAGGGAGCCATTTATCTTCATCTAGGACAAATATAACAATTCACAAAGAAAGAATTCCCTAGCTGGTTTCATTCAGAGATTGGTTTAGTTTCATCAGCATTTGGTTTATCAGTTTTTGAACTTCATCTGAAGTGTTATGGAGCCAAAGTACTGAGGGAATTCTATTTATATTTATCTCCATTGGGAGAAAAAATGGAAAGAAGGACATACAACTAAGGCAGAATATCAGCAGATAGCCAGAATCTGCAAAGACGAAGTCAGAATAGCAAAGGCTCAGAAGGAAAAAAGACTTGCGACAAAAGTCAAAGATAATAAAAAAAGTTTCTTCCAACATATAAAGGAAACAGTCGGTCCACGAAAGAGAGAAGACTGCAAGGAAGTAACATGCAACAGAGAGAAAGCAGAACTGCTTAATTCATTCTTTGCATCCGTCTTCACACTAAAAGAAACTACATCTCAACCCACCAAAAACATAACTGTAAAAGACAGACCAGAAATAAAAGTTAAAATAAGCAAAAAATTAGTAAGAGAACACCTGTCTGATCTTGATGAAAACAAATCACTGGGGCCTGGTGGATTACATCCCAGACTTCTAAAGGAGCTGGCAGAAGTCATCTCAGAACCACTGCATGAATCTTTCAAAAATCCTGGAGCACCGGGGAACTAACAGAGGACTGGAAATGAGCTGATGTGGTTCCCATCTTCAAAAAAGGGAAAAAAAACAGACCCAGGAAACTACAGACCAATCAGCCTAACATCAATACTCGGGAAGATATTGGAAAAGATAATAATAATAATAATAAAAAAAAAATCTGCCAACATCTAGAAACAAGGAAAGTAATAACTAGCAGTCACCATGAGTTTGTTAAAAACAAATTATGCCAAAGAAATCTTATTTCATTCTTCAACACAGTGACTAAATTAGGAGACCAGCAAAATACTGTGGACATAATATATTTAGATTTCAGCAAGGCATTCGACAAAGTAGACCACAACCTACTTCTTAGTAAGCTAGAAAAAAGTGGAATAGATAGCTCCACCACTGGATGGACTCGCAACTGGCTGACAAACCATACTGAATGAGTAGTCCTTAATGGGTCTAAGTCTACATGGAGGGAAGTAAGCAATGGGGTGCCACAAGGTTCCATCTTAGGCCCAGTACTCTTCAATATCTTCATTAAGGACTTAGATGAGGAATAAAGGGGGAACTTACCAAATTTGCAGATGATACTAAGCTGGCAGGAATAGCTAACACCCAAGAAGATAGGCTCAAGATCCAGAAGGATCTTGATAGACTCGAACACTGGGCCGTATCTAATGAAATGAAATTCAATGTAGAGAAAAGTAAAGTCCTACCCTTAGGCAAGAAAAACCAAAAGTACACATATAGACTGGGTGAAACCAGGCTCAATAGCAGTAACTGTGAGAGGGATCTTGGAGTCTTAGTGGACAACCAGCTGAATATGAGCCAGCAGTGTGCAGCAGCAGCCAAAAAAGCTAATTCAATCCTAAGTTGTATTAACAGAAGGATACAATCAAGATCAACAGAGGTACTAATACCACTCTATAAAGCCTTAGTGAGACCACACCTAGAGTACTGCATCCAGTTTTGGTCACCACATTCCAAAAAAGATGTTGAGACTCTAGAAAGAGTACAGAGAAGAGCAACCAGGATGATTAGGGGACTGGAGACTAAAACATATGAAGAATGGTTACAAGAACTGGGCTTGGCTAGTCTAGTAAAGAGAAGGACCAGGGGAGACATGATAGCAGTCTTGCAATATTTGAGGGGCTGCCACAGAGTGGAAGGATTCAAGCTATTTTCTAAAGCACCTGAAGGCCAGACAAGGAATAATGGATGGAAACTGAACAAGGAGAGATTTAACCTGGAAATAAGGAGAAACTTTCTGACAAGTGGGAACAATCAACCAATGAAACAGCTTGTCTTCGGAAGTTGTGGGAGTCCCATCACCTGAGACTTTCAAGAAGAGATTGGACTGCCATTTGTCAGAAATGATGTAGGGTCTCCCGCTTGGGTGGGGGGGTTGAACTGGACAACCTACAAGGTCCCTTCCAACTCTGATTATCTGTTATCTGTTAGATTGTTTTCATAAAGGAATTTTGATATGATGAAAAGCTAAATGTTAAAAAAATAGTGATTATCAGAATTTTGCTAATGAATAAAAGAATAGAGTGCAAAGGCATATTTACTTCTATCTACCAGATAGAAGTTGATACGTTTAATTCAAATCAAGCAAATCCCATAGATATCTAACTCTAATTTATGGCAATCATCCAAGTGTGCCTTAATTCGAAACTGACACGACTATAAGGGAAACATGCTTCTGGCCTTGGCTTCAGACTACCAAGACTCTTCTGTGGTTTCCCTATTTGGCTCAGATATTTTTTTAAGAGCTATTATTATGTTCATCTGCTATATATTTTGTTTATAGTGAAGATAATGTAATTAGTTTAAATTTGAAACATTTCTTGCACATAATTAAAATCCCTATCATTTGCATATAACCCATTGACCAGGTGCTTTTTTGCTTGCTGAATTTTTGCACTTGCATGGTCTATCAGGTAAAAATAATTAAATAATGCATTCCCATTTGTTATTTTACATTTTGCACTGTAATTTTAGTAATTTATTGCTGATATGACATGCATGCCAAGTCACTGTGATTTTTAAACCTGTTTTAAATGTGGTCAAAGATTAATATTATGAAATAAGCATCTATCCTATCTCTTGACAGCAACTTAAATATTATACTGTAAATATAGTTTTTCCTCACAGTGATCCAA